CCCCTTTTTGAAAATTTGTCCAAAAGTTTTTCCCTAATGAAAGATCTTGGAATGTAATGGGTTTATCCAAGCTAGTATGAAAATTGTCAAAAAGGCGGGCTGCCCTCAATGCTACTCTTAAACCATAATCACGTGACTTGATTGAATCCTTTGCAGTGAATTTAAACAATGTTTACGTCAATGATTGAAGAGTGTAGAGACGTCAAAACTCACATCCAAGGCTGTGAACAAATTGGGATTTCGTTCATGGCTTGGGCCAACAGAAACATTATGTACCGTAGAGCCTAAGATTTGAAGATTTCTACACATTTTGAAAGCACGAAAAAAGGAGACTTAACTTATTTGTTTGAAGGACTGGGTCTTGTTAACCTATGAATAATCGACACAGGACACACTATGCAGCCAGAGGATTTGATTTGAGATTTGACAAACCGATGGGCTTGTGGGTACAATTCTAAAGAATATCAAGCCATGGTCCTGAGGAAACAACTGCCCTTTTATTCCTTTTCTTTTCTTTTTTTTAATTAAGATGCGAAACAGCTAAGCTTTTGATTGTATAATGCTGATCAGAATCGTCATCTCCAGGATAACCAGCGCATCTCGAACCTCTAGTGCAAATTCAAGTATAATAAACAGTGAAACTCTTGCATCAATTAGTTTAAAAGAGTATCAGTTGTTCGATTCCTTCTCTCTTATATGCTGTTAATAGAACCCCAATTCCTTCTAAATTTATTCATACAACATATCGAACACGGCAAGATTCTTGGCAAGATTGTCTGGGTTAGGCAAAAAGGAGACTCCAGGTAGGTTGAGAATTGGCAAGGTTTTTTGGCCAGATTGCAAGAGAATAGTGAGCAGGAAGACTTTCCCTTGCTTATAGAAATGTAATGACCATTTTCTAAATACACTGGTCATGATAGTAGCAAATTAGTTGATCAAGGTTATCGTATGCTGATCAATTTGCATGGTCAAAACAAAAGGTGTCATTGGTCACAAACCATATTCCAACAAATTATCCCACTAATACAGTAAAACTGATAGATCAAATCATATGTAGTACTAATTAAGTTATCATTGGAAGATTTCCTAAGAAAGAAAGAAGGGTAAGCTGAAACCATCAATGGTAGGAGAATTAATAATGACAGCAACAAGGTTGAATACCAATTCATCTCCTTCTGTTATTGCCACAAGATATTCTTTAGTTTCCATCAACTAAATGCTTCTCTTAATTCACATATCCCTCTATGACAAGTGGCTAAATAGACCCAGTGTTATGGTTAGCTAAATAGACCCAGTGTTATGATCCCAACGAAGACTGCGCATTTAATAATTAATAGTATCTTTAATCAATGGGATGTTAACGAGTCAAAACGAATAATATTCATTAGAATTGGTGAGATAGTATGACCCATAACAATTGGTATTAGAAGGAACTCTAATTACTAATCTTTTAACAAAATTTAAGATGTCAGACAATTACTTATTAAAACCATAGAGACGCTATTAAATAGTTTAGTTTTTTTTTTTCACCAAACAGATTCTACCACGTTTTCCACCTATCAATGTAGGAAGCAAATAAAAAGAGAAAAAGAATCTGTAAAAGAAGTAAACAAGAAAACGTGGCTTGTTCCAAACTAGGCAATTCACTCTGGGCTAGCTAAATTTTCCTAATTGACACTGTGCCTATGGTATTTTGTTGGAAACAGTTCGTCACCTTCTGATTGTTACCATAACAATGAAAGGATAGATCGTTTGTTGACGGAGGTGATTGTCATTGTTAGTAAGGAATGATTGTCCAGCCTAGTGGAGCCCAAAAGTTATTTGGACTTGAAGATAGTGGAAATGGAAAAATCAAATTAAAAGGAAATAAACCTTCAAATGTAGAAAGAAAGCTACCATTATCTTAATCCTTTTACTTCCTTATTTCAGCCTCCACTCTTAATTAGTTTACTAATTTGCAAGGGTCAAGGGCCTTATATTATATTCCCACTTGAAAATTTCAACCTTAGTCCCTTTGTGTAAGGCTAGCTCTCTCAAATTATATCCATAAACCTGTGTAGAATTCATCCTTTCAATGGATTTCCTGCAAACTCTATCATCTCTTCAATCTTCACCAATCTTCTTTATTCTTTCTCTGTTGGTTTTCTTCATTTCGTGTTGGGCTGGAGCAGGAAAGTCTCATACCCTCCAGGCCCTAAAGGGTACCCAATTATTGGCAAAGTGAAGATGATGGACCAATTGACTCATTGTGGGCTAGCTCGGTTTAGATAAACAGTACGGTCAGAGCGGTC